GGCTCTCCACCCACTCCCAGAGGGCTTCACATCCCACCGTGGAAGGAGCCGCTGTCACTCTCCCTGTCTTGAAGGAAGGTGCTGAGGCTGGTGCATCCCCGCCCAGCTCTTCCCACTAAGTTCTGCAGACCACAGCCGAGTCAGAGTCTGCAGACCAGACCCCACAGAGCTGTTCTGTGCGAAATCCCCACCCCCTGAGCAGGGAGAGGAGGGAGCAGAGTGGGCGCAGAGCAGAGGCTGCTTCCTGTTGCCAGAGGAGGAAGTTGTTGCTCACCCTGGAGACGCCGAGCTGGGCGTGGAGCCCACCGAGGGTGCTGTGCTGTATCTGCCGACTTCTCCGCGCTCTGTCCTGCCAAACCTTTCTCGTGGGTTGTGTCGTGTTGGCCCTGAGTCCACCCCAGACTCGGAGGTGCTGCCCAAGCCTGCGTCTCTCTGCATTCACATCCCGAAGCACGAAGTGCAGGGACACAGGTCAGCCCTATGCCTGGGCGATGCAGTCTTCTGCTTGTGGCAGTTGTCAGTTTATTCACAAAGGGCTTCAGCCAGCTCTGGTGGTTCTAGAGCATGGCATCTCTTCCCTAGCAGCACCCCGTGTGCACCGGCAGTGATCCCCATCCTCCCACACCCTCCAATCTCCTCACGACTGTGAGTCTGCCTTCTAGCTCTGGGGATTTGCCTGTTCTGGGCATTTCCTACAACTGGAACCATCTGTATGTGTGCTTTGAGTCTAGCTTCTTTCCCTAGGCGTGTTTTCAAGGCTCATCTGTGTTGCTGTGGGTACCAATCCATGGCTTTTTGTGAGTCAGTAATACTCACTGGGTGTCTTAGCTTGGTGAGCTGCCAGGGGCTGTAAGTGCCTGGAATCTGCCTTAGCTTTCACTGCCTGCTTTCTCGGGGCCTCGAGGTCAGCCAGAGTGAGAGCTTTGGGCCTTCTCTCACGTTTCCTGGGCGCAGGTGCAGCTGTGGGCACGCACACAGGGCTGTGTCCCAGTCTTTGAAATCCCAGAGGACATTGGTCACTGCCTTTTCCTTTTCATCCTTTTGATCAAGTTGGTATCTGTGCCTGCGACGGGGAGGAAGTCAAACAGTGGTCTGGAGTCGCTCTTGACAGCTGTCTCTAAGGGCAAGGCTGTGCCCGCACTGAGCCCAGGGGCAGGGCAGATATGGCCCAGCAGCAGCTGGGGTCTTCCGGCTGGGGCCACCAGGGAGCTGCGTTCTCATAGTTACGTGGCAGTGAGGTGCGGGAAGACCGCTGGCCCCCTGTTCCCTCGCCAGTGGCTTCCCCACTACTGGTTTTAACGTGAAGTGGGTTATTTTTCAAAGCTCTCACAAGCTGGGGAGTCAGAGGGGAGTTTGTCAGGTTAAAATGTCAGTGTTCCCGGTTTTTAAGCCAGGATTCAGCCGTGTTTCTTGGATGAGTGTTGTCCCTGTTGCACAAGCAGCTGTTTATTTCTGGAGTTCTGAGAAAGTTGACTTTGACAATGCTTGCTTGTCTTCCCGTGGCTTCACGGAGGGGAGACTTTTCTGGCGTCTTAGTTGATGTCACTGTAATGGCCCATGTTAATGGATGCGCAGCTCCTCAGAGGATGGTAAATGCACTTTCAAGGCGTTTCACCTCGTGCTCCACAGACAGGAGCAGAGAAGACGTGCCTTTTGATAGATGATGATGTTTGAACTATCACGGGTCCCCGGGGGTAATTTCCATGTAATGCTTTCCTTGGTGATTGCTTTTTTCAGATGCCAAGGCTTGGGGTGGGGTTGCTTTTGGGACGGTCGAGTGGTTGTTGATGGACACTAGGGAAGAAAAGTGCAAAACCTCAACTATGCATGAGAATGCCAAGTAAGGAAAGATGGTTTTAACAAAAGCACAGGCTTGGAGAAGTTGGGGTAGGTCGTTCTAAAAATTGAAGTCACCTCCCTTGAAACTCGTCCTGGGAAACCTCTTGTAGCATCTCTTTTGAAGCTTGCAAGCTTCCACAGGGAAGAGATTAGTGCTGAGTGTCTTCTCCTTTCCTGGTGTCTGTTCTAGGCCGGGCTTGTATAAATAGGACATAGACGTTCAGATACTCCCCCAGCTTACACATTGCATTGTTTTAAAATACTGTAATGCATGTGTTAATTGGTCTCATTATACTACTAGTTTATCTTGGCTCATTGGAAAGAAAGGTTTGTGTTATTCTGTGTTTTTTTTTTTTTTGAATGACTCTTTTTGGTTTATGTCTTGTACTCTACTCCGAAGATAACATTACACAGGGTAATCACTTTTATTATTCTCTTATTTGATTGTGAACTTCTGTTTAATTTTTTCATAAAATAATAAAAAAGGAATTTCACTTGTGACAGAAAAAGTAAACTCAAAAATGACTTTAGTGAAATAGCTTATTTTGTATGTCTGAATTTCCAAAGATAACAGACTTGGTTAGAACTGGAGGCAGGAACCCAAAATTATTTCCCCAGAATCTGTCTTTCTCCTGCTTTGGCCTCTGATTTGCTGTGTTTGGCTTTATACAAATGCGACTTTGTGATCGGAGGGTTGACTATTTTGATGGGCGGTTTTGATGAGCGTCTTGGGGTCGGGCACCCTCTGGGAAGCCTGGGATCATTCACCCAATGTGTGAGTGAGGAGACCGTCAAAGGGGGACAATGAAACGTCACCATTAAGAAGCGAGGGGCGGGGGCTGGACCTGAACAGCCGTGACCAGGGTCCGGTGTGGCACACGGAAAGCACGCGTGTTCTCTCTTCCTGGTTCATTATGCAGTTGAGTTTAGCAATACACCTCGCAACGCGATCGCCCCTGGTTTTGTGCATGTTGTGGTGATCCCCACTTCCACACCATTGTCCCGCCCCAGGAAGTTGTCATCCAAGCACACAGTGTTTCCTGTCCTCACTGCTAATAGATGAGGCGAGCCGGGTCTGCACCCCGTCTCTCTGTGGGAGTGAGGTACGCAGGCACATGAGCTGAGCTGACATTCTCTTGGAATTAGCTCCTCAGGATTCATCCAGAGCAGACGCACATGTGGAAAAGAAAAAGACTGGCTTTTCCATGTCTCCCAGATCGAGTCGCCGTCACTCCCCATGTAGCCATTGATGTCCACTCAGGACAGCTGACGCTTTCTCTTGAAACATAGTTCTGCTTTGCACGTGCGCCAGCACTGAGGATCGAGTTATCTATAAAATGGTGCTAATAGCAGTTGCTGCCTTGGGAGGGTTGCTGAGAAAGGAATGAATAATTATTCATGAACCATGTAGCATGGGCACCTCATGACAGCTGTCTCGGCTGCCGTCATTTATTCCCATCGTCATCGTCGTCAGCATCGTCATCATGACTGAGGCTGGCCCCGCCTCACCCCTTTCCGGGGGAACAGTGGGGAGCTGGCTTGGAAAGCTGAATGCGCGCAGAGGCCTGGATGCTGTGAGGAACCGTGGTCGTGGCCTGCCGGGTGGATCTCGGGGAGCTGGCGGTGGGAGGAGGGCTCTGGGTGTGTGTCCGCCACTGACCTGTGTTGCCCCTGCTGCTGTGTCTCTGGTTGGCCCTTTGTCTCCAGGCGAGTGTGGAATTGGCTTCTGCACCAGACCCTGCTGTGGTGCTGTGGGAGGGTTCAACGTGTTCCCTGCTCTGCTCCCGCCGTGTCTGTGCTCCCTGGACTCCCTGGATCCTGAGATCTGAGCACACGGTGACCTGGTAAATACTGTGAGGTAGCCACATGAACAGCAGCTGCCTCTCTTACCCAGTTTCCAGGTCAGGGCAGCCCGTGAGGGGAAGAGCTTCTGGCAGGTGCCATCAGTAGATGGAAAAGCTGGAGGAGTGAGGCAGAGAGAACAGAGCAAGATGAGGAGACGGCAGGGCCGGAGCACTCCTGCCGGGGAGTCTGGATTTTTACGCTAAGAACAGCGCTCCGTGTGCACCCATGTCCACAGCAGCGCCCCTCCTGGCAGCTCCACTGAGAAGGGCCAGTTATGTCCACAACAGGTGAATGGATGAAGAAAGCATGGTATTTAGACCTCATGGAGCGCTGCTCGGCCACAAAGAAGGGTCAGCTCGAGTCATTGGTAGGCAGATGCCTGCACCTCGAGACCATAATGTTAGATAAATCAGATGCCCAATACTGGATGCCCAAAATAGAGAGCCAAATAAAAGACAGATAACAGGAAGTCGGGAGAGAGATCTTCAGCAGATGGGAGAGGGACTGAGGATGGGGCAGGAGGGAGAGAGGGCAGGGGCGGGACGTAAAGAGAGTCAGTGTGCTGCATCCGTGTGCCAGCCCGTATTCGGGCCCTGCGAGGAACATGACCATTGCGAACGGTGAACACCCACCACTAAAAAATACAAGTCAGAAACATAAAGAGAATGGCAGGAGCTTCCCAAGTCTCAGGCTAGGAGAGAAGTCATGTGAGTCAGGTGGCCTTGGCTGTGAGCCAGGGAGGCCAGGAGGGGCCTCCTGGTTGCCCACACTGAGATGTGGCCTTGGGCAGGGGCGGCAGCAGGGTCGAGGACCGAGCTTGGCTCTGGAGAGCGACCTCAGAGAGCCCCAGGGGAGGCAGGGAGGAGCGAGCCTCCTGCGGGGCCTGGAAGGAAGTCTGGGGGAGGCAGCGGGAGGGGACGGGGGTCCTGCGGTTGGCTCAGGTATGGAAGGCTTGTCATGGTCCTCACACTGTTCCCCTCTGCTCTCTGTGCTGCGGTCCTCTCTGCTTGGAGACCGCAAGGCAGCCTTGGGTGAGGACGCACAGGAAGGCAGGCAGTGATGTGCCAGAGGTGCCTGGAAAGCGCTTGTGCTGGGTGTGCCTGTGAGGTGGAGGGAGGGGAGGCCGGGGAGTGGTCCCTGTCCTGCCCCGGACCCCACAGGCTTGAGGAGCTTGGTCGTCCCCTCCTTGCAATCCTGCCTTTCCTGCAGGCCGGGGGCTCCGGGCATTGCTGGGGTACAGCAGCCCCTCATCAGCACCCCGCCTCTGACTCACTTGGCCCCTGAGTGCTGACCAGCACCCCTTGTCTCCTGCGCAGGACACGGAGGTTCTGAACACCGCCATCCTCACCGGGAAGCCCGTGTCCGTCCCTGTCAAGGTCGTCGGGGTCCAAGAGGACGGCTCCGTGGTGCACGTGTCGGGGTCCGTGGAGTGCAGGTCGGCGGACGAGGACGTCGTGAAGGTAGGGGCTGTGCTGCTGTCCCCTGCGCGGTGGCCTGGCCGCTTCTGCCTTTGTCCCCAGCGTCCGTTCTGCTCCAGGGGGCAGGAAACCAGGATGACCGCACCGAGGATGGGACAGGGAGGGGACCCGGGTGAGCAGAGCCAAGCTGAGCGAGCTGAGCGAGAGCTGTAGTAGCAGGAGGGAAGCCCGGCCCCCAGTCTCCTCTCTCTTGGTCCCCTCCCCTCCCTTCCTCCCCTGCCTCCCTCCTCTCCCCTCCCCTCTCCTTTCTTCCCTCTCTGCCCTGTTCCTTTCTGAGGGATAAAGGGAATTACCAGGCCGAATTTTAAAAGTACTCAAAGGAAGAGTGTGGGCTCTCAAAAAGGCGAGAGATGCATTGTAGTCCAGAGCTGAGAATATTTACGCATTTTTGGTGGTAGAAATGTGTGGAATTGGCGAATCTTTAGAAAGCTTGGGTCGGTTTATGGGGGAAGCAGTGGAAAGAGGATGGGCCTTTTCACAGGAGAAAGGCCTGTGTGTGGGGTTTGTTTCTGATGAGTGATTTATTTTCCTCCAAAACATTTTATTTGAAACCTTGGTGTCTATTCCTGTGTTTGAAGGTCACACTTCTGCCCTTTACCACATCAAATGAGCTAGGTTACGGACTTGTCTGTAGGACCCAACCTTAAGGGCCCTGGGGGTGACGCTTCAGCACACACAGATCTCAGTACCCTCAGGCCTGGGAACCTGGGCAGCTTTGCCTGGAGGCCCTCTCAGGTGCAGCTCCACGGTGATGATAGCCCTTGTCCCTTTCTCCCCAGCGTGACGTGTCCCTAATGTTAACCGTCCCCGTACCATCCTAATCTTTGCAGCTGTCTGTGCCCAACAATGCCATTAACTAAATCTATTTTCTTCCAATGCCTTGCTTTTTTGAGCAGCTGGTTGGATCGGCTGGGGAGCGTGTGGTGCTAATAAATGTCTCCCTTTTCAAGCTTTGAAGCTAATTTAGCCTCATTATCAGATAATAAAATCCATGAGCTTGATATACTAAAGTTTTGTTAATATTCATTAGAATAAATTAGTGTTAAAATTAGGAAGAGAGCTCATCATGTACCACCAAACTTAATTTGGGTGTAACCCGAGGGACACAGACCTCGGTAGGGGAGATCTGGCCGGGGGACATTTCTGCTGGATTCAGCGTGCTAATTAGCCACATTCCTGATTCTAGATCCTGCCAAGAACCAGTCTGTGTTTTCACAGGCTCTTTGTGGGGTTCTGCTAGAAGCACAAAATTTAGTGTTTCTGCCTATTTTTTTCTTAGTACACTGGTTGCGATTTGCTTTTGCCAAGGCCGCTTTGGGGAAAGAGGACACATTTTCAGAATCGTCCTCCTCCTGTAAGTCACTCATGCCTGTCACTGGAAAATGTGATGATACTAAGTTCTGTTCTTGCTTACAACCCTGCCTAAAAGTGAGACATGACTGTCATGGTCCCGAGAACTTCATGGTGCCCTTAAAAGACATGAGGGGTTCCCCATGGCAGAGAAGGCCTCTAGAGGTCTCAAGGCCTCTGTAGGTCTCAGTGTGACCTACACCAGGCCATGTCTCACTCCACAGACAGCTCATAAAGAAGAAATGATAGATTTGGGAGCTATAATTTAAAAAATAGTGAAACCTGGAAACGCTGGTGTGGCATAGCTTGTTTCCTGGTAATGAAATATTAATTCTCTCTAGACAGGAAGGAAGCCCAGCTTGAACCTGGAGGACACAGCCCTGCCCTGGGGCTCTTGCAGATCCTTGGATTCTGTGTATAGATTGAATTAAACACACACAGGTCCCTAAATGAGTCACATTATTGGAGGTTTATTAGTCTCTCCCCATCCCTGAGACAAAACACCTGATGCCTGTAATTTAAAGAAGAGAGCTTTGTTTTAGCTCATGGTTTCAGGGGGTTCAGGCCACAGTAAGCTGCCTCCAAGGCAGAGACGGCCTGGCAGAAGGGCCTGGAGGAAACTCGCCCGCTCATGCCAGCCAGGAAGCTGAGCGGGCGGGAGGAGCCAAGGGCCAGAATACACCTCCAGGGCCACGGCCGCAGCTCGCCCCCAGCCAGGCCTCGGCTCCTGACAGCTTGTGGAGCCACTGAGTTTAGTAATGGGTGAATCCACTGCTGAGCACGGCTCTTCCATGATCCAGTCGCCTGCCACAATGTGGGACTTCTGGGGACATCTTAGATGTAAACCGTGCAGAGATGATTTGGAAAAATACCGCGACGTGTTGCCTGTCTCAGGCACAGTTTTCATCATTTCCTCGTCGCTACAAAGGAGACACAGGCGGGGATGTCGTCTGCATGCTTACGCCACTGGGAACTCAAACTAGCGGCTCCTGGTGCAGTTCCCAAGCTCTTCCCTCCCGAGAGCCTGTGCGGAGCCCTCAGTGGACCCCTCAGTCACCTGCTGTGGAGGAGGCTGCCATAGAAAGGAAGGGTGAGGTTCACGGACCCCATTTTGGCTCCGTGCTTGGTTGGCTCTGCTGCAGAGATGTGCTAAACGTGTCCTTGCATCACGGTGTGCACAGTGTTCTGGAAGGTGATAGATTTTTTAGTCAGTTGTCACTGCTGTGGCTTCTTAAAGAAGAGACCGTCTTCAGCAGGTGACTGTCCACTCCTCAGGGGAGGCGGATGGAGTCCGCAGAGCGCTGCACCCGGACTGTGATAAGAGGGGCTGTGCCGATGCCTGGGTCCACGGCCTGGGTCCAGGCGGCGGTGGGAGAGGAGTACAACGCCTGGGCTGCCTTTGCTGCGGTTTCACACCGGTGCCTCCAACCAGCCTCACCGTGACTCCAAGATGAATGGCGTTGTCTACAGAGCTGTGCGCTGGCCCTGGTGGCACCCAGGCACATCCCCGAGACATGGCCCCAGTGGTTAGTGCTCTCTGGAGTCGCCCCTCCTTCTGGGAGCTGTCACTGAGCTGCTCTCACAGGACTGAAAACACCGTGGGGTCCCCGGGGGAAGTGTGAGGGTCGCTGAAGATGGTCCGGGATTGGACGCTCTGCACCCTGGGTGTGGGACTCAGACACACGAGAAGTGGAGGATGGAGTCGCCTTGTGCTTTTTATGTTCCGAAAGTGACAGTTAAAAGCGACCATATTTAGTTCAGTGGGAGGGAACAGGCTGCAGGGGTGGCACCCTGGCTCCACCCACTCGCTGCTGGACCAGCTCAGCTGAAGCTGGGGTGCAGGGTCCTTGTCTGTTAGGTGATGCGGTGGGAAGGGGCCTTCGACAGAGCCCGGATCCTCAGCCACTGTAGAAGGCAGCACTAAAAATAGGATAATTCAAAAACACCTGGGCTTTCAGGTGTTCAAAATACAGTTGATTAAAAAAATACTTTCCTTGCATTTGAGCAGTGGGCAAATTTCCTGGAACGGGAAAGAACAAGGGTTTGGTTTCTGAGGCACTTCTAGGAGAGGTCTTGAGAAGCTAGGTTTGGGGTGACTGCCTCGTACCCTTCTCCTTTGTGTCCCGTCGGGTGGCAGCCTGGTTATTCTAAATGCACAGAATTGAATGGCTGTCGTTAAATCTGTGTGGGATAAAAATCCAAGGCGGAAATTTGGGGTACTAAGTAAGAGTATACATCTAAGGAGGTGACACAGTGCATGGCCTGCGACAGCCCAGCGTTCCATTGATATGTCTACATATTTCTACCCGTTCTCCGCGTTCACATTCACGTTCATTTCTGTCAACCTTAACCTCCCTTGGGTTTCCAGGTCGGCAGCATCTGTGACTATGAATTTTCTAACTTCTCTCCTCCCGGGCCCACACAGTGTCTGCGACACAGTAAATAGTTGGCGAATACACAAATAAATGCATAAATAAATGCTGGAGATCCCCAGAGACTGACACGGATATTACACACGAGGAACTGTCTCGAGGTTCCAGGACCCTGTCCTTTGGGATCTCAGGCGCTGAGAATCTTCAGGGGCAGGCAGAGGGTTTGCTAATCACAGGGACTTGGCATTGGTGGAGACACGGCCTGATGCCTGGTGTTCTCACGAGGGTGTTTTGTTCCCCAAACACGTAGGAATCCCCTTTCTCGTGGAGGGCAGCGGGGAGGGGCTTTGGGGGCTGCCCGTGGGCTGCGTGTGAAGTCTGCCCTTGGGTGTTTCCCACAGCTCATGAGCGTTAGGAGGGGATGTTGGCTGGATGCTTGTGAAGTGCCAGATACACTCGCTCATAACTCAGGCCTGAGCTGTGTGGACCTGTCTAAGGCGGCTGATTCCACTGCCTCAAGCTCCTATGTGGGGACCAGGATGGCAGGGAGAAGGATGGAGCCAGAGGCTGGGTCCTGGCCGTGGCCTTGCCTCAGGCCGTCCTGAAGGCTCACTGTACAGGTCCCCTGGGGCACTGGGAAGGTCACAGGGCCTCGAGCAGCAGGGAACCAGCTAGCAGCGGGCTTGCTCTGAATCTGCAAGGACCTTTGTTTTCATCTACAGCACCCACATGTCCTGGGCATTCATCTATTAACGCTGCTGTGGCAAATGACCTCAGAATTCAGCAGCTTGGAACGTGCGTTTGTTACAGTTCTGGGGGTCAGGTCTAAGAGGGGGTCAGGCCTAAGAGGGGGACAGGACTGGGTCCCTCCTGGGGGCTCAGGGAGGCTCTGTTCTTTCCCTTTTCCAGCGTCTGCCCATGCTGCTTGCTCCTCCCCACCCTTCATCCTGGGCTGGCCGTGTGGCATCTTCCTTTGTCGCCTTGTCTGACCTCTGCCTCCCTCGCCACGCTTGCTCTCTGGTCCGGTCCCTCTGCCTCCTGTTGTAAAGGCCCCTGTGCCTGGACCAGGCCACACAGATGATCTTCCCCGGAGCCTGGGTGGCATGGGGAATGTCCTTTTCCACCCTTGATGGCATCGGTGATGCCCCTTTGCCACATCTGTTAAGTTTTCCGGAGTGGCTGTGTCAAGCCACCACAGTGGAAGGCAACTTAAAGCAATAGACACCAATTTCTCTGCAGCTCTGGAGGCCACACATCTGA